AAAAAATTTTTTTAAAAATTTAAAAAAAAAGTAAAGTGTTATTAGCTTTAATCTTAATTTTGTATATCTGTGTATAGGCCGCCTATAATGTCCGACTGACTGACAACTCCTTCTTACCCTTTAATTTGTGTCCGTTTACTCTCATTTTGAAATATTGGACCAGCCTCTACTCAGAACAAATTCCGCATCACAGTCATCTTTGTTTATTGCATGTGCAACTTTTAAATCACAAAAAGCCTTTTTTTGCACTGAAGTAAAACTAAATGAGGGCTTATGCAGCTGTTCCAATTTGCTTACAAGTTCTTAAAGACAATAGCTAGAACAGACCTCATTAATAACTTGGGGACTGCCTGTACTTCTTTTTAAGTCAAGGCTTCTGTTTTTTAAATATTTTTGTTATACATCAATTAGACATTTTGTCTTTTGAAGCCATACTTGTTTTTCATACTGTACATTGTAATCTGTGTTTTTTTCTTTGAAGATATAGCTAATTTTTCACTATGCAATTTGAGTCAGAACCACACGTCAGTAATATAGTTTACCAAGATATTAATTCATTTTGTCACTTTTGCCTTTGAAAACAATTAATGAACTGTTGGTAAGATTTCGACAGAGTATCTTGTTCAGATTACTGAATGTCTGATGTCAAAGTAAATGTTTCTGACATCACTATTAAATGGCCTTAGTTTATTCTTGGCAAGAATTTGTTCGTTTTAGAACTTTAAAAACCCATTTTCTAACTGCAATCTCAGAGATGCATGGTTCGAATCCATGCATGGCTCTGCTGGAGAAGGAGGAACAATCTCCTCCTGTACCAGTCAGATCTGATTTGAGGGTACACACAAAAAATAATGAAATAAAATAAATTAAAAAGCCATTTTCTCCTTTGAAATCAGGTTTGGCAGGAAATCAGTGTGGAAGCTAAACATGTGAAAGATATCATGAAAACGCTGGAGAGCTTTAAACTCGAGAGCACTCCTCTGAAGGCAGCACAGCATGAGTTTCCAGCCTCTGAGGGAGAAGTGTGGTCCTTGCCGGTTCCTGTTGAACGAAGGTAAGTGGGGCCTTTGGGAAAAGCAAATCAGCACAAGAATCCCACACCATTGGCTATGTCTAGCGGGAGAACTAAGCACGTTTGACACAGGATTGGGGGAGAATATTTTTACCAGTGTCCTGTTACATAACTCTTGAATTGCTTAGCCTGTGACTATGTGATCTGTTTTATTACATTTAGCTGGCAGTGCCAAAAGATATGGAAACTTTCATTAAAATTAATAAAATATATATATTTGCTTTGGTGAGTGCACTTAACGTAGTGGAGACAACTTTGCGTTTTTGAAGGGAGCCTAAGTCTAGAAATGAAAATATTTGAAAAGCTCTGAGCTATCAGCTCAATATTAGGTTCTCAAGCCCCCTCCAGAGGCACCTGAAGCTATGCCCTAGCAGCTATCTGCTCTGAAGGTTAACAGCCTCGCCAACCTGTGGAACAGTTTATTCTCTCCACATGTGTGCACCAGGAATCAGAATCACTCTGATGGTAATGAACATGTTGCTATCTATGAGAAAATGATTCCTCTTTCTAGATAGGAGCCCTGACGATACAGTGGTTCCCTGCCAGTGGTCGGAACCGTCAACAGCTCTGCGTCTGAATGCTGTGGCGCTCTGCTCGTGTAAAGACCTCAGCCATGGAGACCTTATGGGGCAGTTCTCCTCTGAACTTTATTTCTTTTACCCAGGTTTTCCACTTTGCTCTCACCACCATACCTGGTAGCTGCTGCCCTGAACATTTTTTTTTAAGTCACTGAGATAAATGGAGGGTAAATGTTCTGAGTTTGTAGGATTTTCTGTGTCAGTACTGAAATGCACTGAACAGGGAGTGCTGCTAGTTTTGTAGTATGCAACTGTGTGTCAGTTTTGTTTCTCTCACAAAATAGATGTTCTAGGATTGTATTGTGGATTTGATACATGAAGATCATAACATTCAGCAAAAAACATTGTGACTTACAGATTACAGGCAACTTTTTATTCTTTCTGCCTTACTGTATTTCAGTGTCTATTTTGTGTTACTTTTGTGAGGAGGAGGAGGAGAAATACATTTTTTAAAGGAATACCTCTTGGCCCTCTGAGTTTCTATCTGTAATTGAGCTCTTGTCAACACTCCCGCATACAGACTCATCCTCAGTTGTTTACAACTGTTGTTGTTATGTACCATCAAGTCAGATGGAACATACAGCTGGACCCTCCAGTGGGTTTTCAGAGGCAGTAAATTACAGGGGAGGACATTGCCCATCTTTCTCCTGTGGAGCTGCTGGTTGGTTGGAACTTCTGACCTTTGCGCTGGCAGCACAGCATTTTGTCACTAGGCAGCCAGAGCTCAAAGAAACCTGCTTACACCTGGTTTTGAACCAGATACTTTTTGCCAGCAAAGTGAATGTTATGACCACTACACTATGGAAACACCCCCAGGACTACAACATACTTCTGTTTATATCTAGTAGTATCTTTTTAAAATATAATATTTCTCTTGGACTTTTCCCCCTCTTGTCATTACTGCCTTGGGCCTGCCCCTCCTATGATGCCTCCATAACATTTGTGATGTTAAACCGGTCTCTGCTTCCTGAATATCCTGTTTGGTATTAAGACTTGTGTTTCTGAAACCTTTTCATCAGAACTCTGTTGGCAGTTAGATAAAAGGCAAACCAGTTTGATATTCTAGTTTCTATTTACGGAACGACCTTATCTTTCAGCATCATCTCACTTGTTGTTTTTCATCATTTCTTTAATGCTCACTGTCCTCTATCAGGCTAGTTTCATTACAATTTTCTGTGCAGATAAAGCTCAGGTTTTTGTGTGTGTGTGTGTGTTAGGTTTTCTTTTTTCTTCTCAGTTTAATTTTTGTAAAAAAATTTTAATTGGTTTTCATATAATAATTCCTTTATATTGTTTCATTCATATACATTGTGGTTTTTTATAATCTTTCATTTACATTGTTTCATACAGTCATTCATATACATTCTATTTTACTTTTTTAAAATTGGTTTGCTTACAAAGTTTACATCATTTTCGTTTTTTGATCTGTAATTACATCCTTTCAGTTTTATTTCCAGGCCCAATTTAATTTCCTAGGACCATGCCTATTGCTGTAGATCTGTTCACATCTTCCAGTAAGGTTCCTTAGTTTTTTGTATCTTCTTCTCAACCATACAGTGATTCAGTTTCCACCTCCCCCTGTTGTGTTTTGGTTTTTTCTTCTCTTTGATGGCCCCATAAGGTGTGTTGTTATTGTTACTGTGTTCCATTAAGTTGGAGCTGATTCATAGCTGACCCTCCAGTGGACCTTCAGAGGTAGTAAATTCCATGGGAGAAGATTATTGATCATCTTTCTCCCATGGAGCAGCAGGAGGATTTGAACCTTTGGGTTGGCAGGGCAATTCCTTATCACTATGCCACAAGAGCTCTCCCTAGTAATGTATAGAAGGAGACTAGCTTTCAGCTCGGAGGAGGCCCTGGTGCAACTTTCTTCCGTCGTCCCGCATCCGGGTTTGTCCGACACCAGCCGCCTCCGCCATGCCGCCCAAGTTCGACCCCAACGAGGTTAAAGTAGTGTACCTGAGGTGTACCGGTGGGGAAGTCGGTGCCACTTCCGCTCTGGCCCCCAAGATCGGCCCCCTGTTTCTGTCTCCAAAAAAGCTTGGTGATGACATTGCCAAGGCCACCGGTGACTGGAAGGGACTAAGGATTACAGTGAATCTGACCATTCCGAACAGACAGGCCCAGATTGAAGTGGTGTCTTCTGCCTCTGCCCTGATCATCAAAGCCCTAAAGGAACCACCCAGAGACAGAAAGAAGCAGAAAAATATCAAGCACAGTGGAAATATCACTTTTGATGAGATTGTTGGCATTGCCCGGCAGATGCGACACCGGTCTTTAGCCAGAGAACTCTCTGGAACTATTAAAGAGATCCTGGGAACTGCCCAATCTGTGGGCTGCAATGTTGATGGCCGTCACCCTCATGACATAATAGAAGACATCAACAGTGGTGCTGTGGAATGCCCAGCTAGCTAAGGAACTACAGATGAAAATATTTCAATAAAGGATTATTTGTTAACCAATGGAAAAAACAAAAAAGAAGGAGACTAATGAATATTTGAAGAATCTGAATTCTGCCACAGACATAAAGATGAAATTAGATGATAAATGTAAACATACAATACTATACAGTGGTTCTTTTAAAAAAAAATTTTATTATTTTTTCTGTGTGTATCGTCAAATTGGATCTGACTTTCTCCAGCAGAGCATCTGGTGTATTCGAACTGCATACCTCTGGAGTTACAGTGCAGCTTCTTGCCACTAGGCCACCAGAGCTCCCCTATACAGTGGTTCTTATAACTGCTCATAGTTACTGTTTGCTTCAAGTATGGTTGTTCTTCCATAGAAGAATTAATACATTTTATTGAAACCTGCATTGTAAAGAAAATGATACCAAATTGAATATAAACCATTGGTAATGTGAGTTTTTCCATATTTTGATAGAACTCCTGTCTGATAATTGCTTTTGCTTCAGTTTCCAAGAATTGGACTAATTTCTGATTCATTTTTTGCTGTCTGGCAATTATTTCCTTTCAGTGAAAGAGTGCCCAGAGACCGTGACTTCTCTTCCTTTGTTTCTCCTCCATCAGCTCCTTTCAGTAAATTAGCGCAGGCAGCTAGGGCATAGGAGAAGACAACCTTCATCCCAGTGGATTGGCACATTGACTGCTGCAATGGGCTCTACTGAGTCAGGAATTATGAAGATGGAACAGGATAGGACAAGGTTCAGATCTGTTGTTCACAGGGTTGCTATGGGTATGCTCTACTAGATGGCACCTAACAACAGCGACATAAGTCTCTATTGAGCCCTGTCTGTGTACGGTGACTGCCTCCACTTCTTTATTTCATAAAATCTGACTTATGTGCCAGAGTGTGTATTCTTTTCACATTTGAAACATCTGTCAGTGGGTTATAGTTTTGTTTGGGTTGTTGTCTTGAATTTTCGTTGTCTTTTAGTTGATTATGATTTTAATAATCTGGTTGTTCATTAGATCTTCACCAGGACCTAGAAAACGCCAGTCTCTACAGTGCACTGACCCCAAACCGCATGGTAATCGTTCAAGTGTAGCTGCCAGAGGTCACCGTACAGCGGCCCAGAATCTGCACAATGACAGAGGGAAAGCTGTTCGTTCTCGAGAAAAGAAAGAGCCGAATAAAGCAAGAGAGGAGAAGGTAACTCTGCTGGTTTCCACAGATGAGAAAGATACTTTCCCAACTTTAAAATGGAAAGTGGTATAAATTTCAGTAACTTTTAGTTTGAAATCAATATACTAGACTTGTGTGATAAAACCTTCATTTTGCTCCAGGTATGTCACAAGTTTCGCAGGAAATACTTGTGTCTGTTTTTTGAAACTTTTAATTTTTATTTAATTTCAGATTTGCAAAAAAGTTGCAAGAATGGTATATATGTTTAAACAAAATCGCCAGCCAGATCCACTGGCCTTGAGTCCCAGCCCTCTCATAGTAACTCTAGGACAGAGTAGAACGGCCCTGTAGGGTTTCTAAACCCCAACAGGACAGACTGCTTCATCTTTCTCCCTCGGGATTTCCGGTAGGTTTGAACTGCCAGCCTTTCAGTTAGCAGCCATGCGTGTAACTCACTGTGACACCAAGGCTCCTTAGGAATAGTTTAAGGAATGACCATATATTATTTACCCATTTCCCCAGTCAATATTTTTCCCCTTTTGCATCATCATGTAGTCTCTGTATCTTTTTCTTTTTTAACCTTTTGAGAATATAGATATCACGTCCCTCCTTTACGCTTTTTTCCTCTCCTTTTCCTTCCCTTCTGGTGAAAACATCAGACACCTAAACTTTGCCAATACGGCTTCCATATTTCTGACTCAACATGACCTTTTCATGTTGTGCCACCAAATGTTGCCAACAGAACATTCAACCGCCATTAACAAAAAAAGCAATACCTTCCCATTTCAAGTTATCGATAATCTTTTATTTCTACATGTTAACTTATTTGACTCTTTACTCTTAAATATTTCAGTGAATTTCATAAACATTAGAATGTTTTCTTATGTGGAGAATAACACCGTTCTCGAAAGCACTGAATTGTATATTGCTGCAGTACTGAGAAAGCCTGCAGTCAGGACCTGCCCGGATTACTTAAGAGCGTGATGGTTTGAGGACTGGGGTGTACCTGATTCACACAGTGGTCTTTTCATTGGTCTGACGGAAGGAAAACTGATGCCTTTGAACTGTGGTATTGGAGAAGGGTACTGACAGCCAAAATAACAGGCAGGTATGTCCTGGAGAAGGTGCAACCAGACTGCTCCTTGTAGGCAAGATTGGTGAAGCTTCATCTCACATACTTTAAGTATGGTGCTAGGAGATGCCATTTCTTAGAGAAGAACATTGTGCGTGGAAAGGTGAAGGGACAGTGAAGGAGAGAAACACCTAAAACCTGGTAGATTGACAAGTTGACTTCAGCAGTAGGCTAAAGTATGTCAGAGATTGTGAGCATGGTACAGGGCAGGACAGGGTTCAGCACTGTTATTCGTAGGGTCAGTGTGAATTATACTCAACTAGACGGCACCTAACAACAATACTGTGTGTAATCCGTTATGTAGGCCTTCGTAAAATTTCCTAAGTGGTCTCAGGTCATGTATAGCTGTCATTCCTCATCCGCATCCAGGAACCATTATAGAATCCCACACTGGCTTTCGTCTGTCATGTTTCTTTACTTTTTTGATCTGAAATTTCTGGAGCCTTTTTTTGTCTGACATTTGGAAGTCTACAGGCCAGCTAGCTATTTTGTAGACAATCTCTAATGTTTCCTGAAGATCAAAAAAGGTTATGCCTTTTGTACAGAAATATTTCCAGAGTGATCTGTACGATCATCCTCATGTTACCACTGATATGTTGTTACTGTTGTGGTTATGTGTTGTCAAGTTGAAACTCATAGCTGACCCTGGAGTGGATTTTCAGAGCACAGGAAGAGATTGCCCATCTTGCTGCCACAGAGCTTCCTGTGGATTTGAACTGCGTGCCTTTTGGTTTGCAGTCCAACTCCTTACCACTGGCCATACGGAGGCAGAGGGATCTCTTTTACTTCTACTGGTGAGAAAGTGGATCACTTACTTGAGGTGGTATCTGCCAGGTCCTCCGACTATAAAGTTAGAGTTTTATACTTTGATGCCTTCAGTGCAGCTTTGCTTCTTTTAGTTACCATTGGCTCTTGTTTTTAATTTACTTCCTGTAATATTTGAGAGTCAGTCAATTCTTTTTGGTACACTGACACTGTATATTTCCCCTTCCTTCAGTTTTTCAAATTGAAAATACTACGATCAGGTGCACCTTTGTCTATAAACTGACATCATTACTCTTTAGCACTTTGACGAGGTCTTTGACAGCTGATTTCTCCAGTGCAACATATCTTTTGATTTCTTAAGTCAATAGATGTTAATTGTAGGTCCAAGTAAAATTATTGACACCTTCATTCATTTTTCCATCTATTATGATGTTGCCTATTGACCCAGTGGTAGGGATTTTTGCTTTCTTGATATTGAAGTGTAACTTATATTGAATGCTATAGTCTTGTAGTTTCTACAGCAAATGCTTGAAGTCTTCTTCCCTTTCTACAAGTAAAGTTGTATCATCTGCATAATAGAGATCGGTGATGAGACTTTCTCTGACCGTAATGCCACATTCTTCATGGAGTCCAACTTCTTGAATGACTTGCTCAGTGTACAGATTGAATAGGTGTGGAGAAAAGTTGCTACCCTGACACACCTTTTCCTTGATTTTGACTCATGTAGTATTATTCCCTTGTTCTCTTCAGCCAGCTTCTTCTTGGTCTAGATACAGGTTTCACATGAGGACAGTTAAATGTTCTGGGATTCTTATTCTTCTCAATGTCATCCATGATTTGTTGTAAATGATCTGGCCTCTGCTGCTGTTGGTGTCCTTGAGTTGTTAGGGGCTCATAGCAACGCCGTGAGCAATAGATGTGAACCCTGTCGTGTCCTGTGCCATCTTCTTCATCTCGGACACACTTGATCCCATTGCTGCAGTCACTGTGTTAATTCACTGGGTTTAGGGTCTTCCTGTCCTTACCTCCACAATTCTAAGCATGATGTCCCTTTCTAGGGAATTGCCTCTCCTCACATGCCCTTGGTACCAGCAGTCAGCAAATAGGAGATGTATTCTGGGAAAATCTGCACTTTGGGACCTTTACAAATTATTGAAGAGTCAGTTTGAGGACTAAGGTGCATCTCATTTAGGCCATAGTCTTTCTGATTGCTAACTGTGTATCTGAGACCTGGACAGTGAGTAAGGATGACAGAAAAATAATTGATGCCTTTGAGCTGTGGTGTTGGAGAATATCCCATGAACGGCCAAGAGAAGGAACAAATATGTCTTGGAGAGGGTGCAGCCAGAGTGCTCTTTGGAGGCAAAGATTGATGAGGCCTAGTATACTTCGGGCATGTTGCTAGGAGAGCCTATTCATTGGAGAAGGACGCAATGCTGGGAAGGTGGAGGGTTGGCGAAGGACAGGAAGACCCTCAACCAAGTGGATTGACACGGTAGCTGCCACTGTGGGCTCTTTTGTGTCAGGAAGTGTGAGGATGGCTCAGGATAGAACAGGGTGCAGATCTTTTGTTCATAAGGTCGCTGTGAGTCATAGTTGACTTCACGGCACCTGACAACCACAACAAGAACATGTCTGAAGTTGTGAAATGAAGTTTTACCATCTTTTCCTGTAAGGAGTGCTCTGGTGGAATTTTCTCAAAGCCACGTCTGCTAGTGCTTTTGGCAGTCCCTGGGATAGTCAGCACACTCAACATCACATTATGAAGGCGTGGATTGTTTTGTCCTTATTCACTGTCCAACATTCAGAAAGACAGTAATGGAAAAGACCATGGCTTGAATCAGTTACATGTTCATCTTTAAACTGATGTCCTTCTTCTTTAGCACTTTGAAGAGCTTGACAGCAGATTTTACCAGCGCTTTTAACTTAGAGCAACTTGTTGGATAAAGGAAATCATGCTAGTTCAACTAAATAAATTCCTATTCACAATTTTTACATTACAGCTTACCTTGGCTGAGTTGTTATATCCTGGTTTGTTAGGGTAGGTTCTCTAGACAAACAAAACAATATATATATATAAAGAGAAATTTTTGCTTATGTGTTTATAGAGGCTGGCAAGGAACCAGGTCTGTGACTCAGACCTCAAGAGAGAAGTGTCCACAGGCCTGTTGAGTCCAAAATTGGTCTAAGGACCCCCAGACTTTTGAGGTTGACTACTCCAGAGTCTTGAAAGCAGGAGTGGTGTCCATTTCCTAAACAACATGCCTCTGGAAACGTTATGAACTTTGAGAAATGACAATAGTTTTAGTAAAGCTTTAGGTATTTTGTTCATTTTGCAGTCAGCAGTATCAAATCCAAGGTCATGAGGCAGGATGACATACTGCTGGCTTCAGAGGCAAATAAGGCAGCCTGCCAGTTCAAGTCCAGAGGTGACCTGTCATACAGGATCCAAAGTAAAAGCATGTGACTAACTTTGGCAGAGAGTCTATGCACACTTCAGTGCAGGCCGGATCTATAAAGGAACATGCCCTCCTTTGGATTAGGACTCATAATATCATTATATAAGTGCCTCTAGTCCTATCATTATTCATAGAGGTTACGATTTACAGTATGTGGAGTAATTGACCTCAGACTGAGAACTGTGGCCATAGTGACACACAGTGTAACTGTCTCACTCTGTTTCTGTTTCTGCCTTGATTAAATTAGTTTTGCTTTATCTTTATCCATAGGAAAAGAGGGATAACTGGAATGTATCTTCTGTTCATGTCTTTCTAGTTTGCATCGAAGTTCCTGGTAGTCAAGGACAACACCTTCTCTTTTCCATAATTGCCCAGATTATATCCTTGTTAGTAAAGACAACCTCTTAAATAAAATACTGAGGAGAAAAGATTTCCCCCCTTTCAGATTTATACAACACTTCCCTTGAATATTTTGGGTTTATTTGGATTCATATTAATGTAAATGAAAATCTTGGTAATCTGTTAGAAGACTTTGAATATTTGAAATACTAATTAAGTCTAGACTTTTTTTTTTCATTTATGTGTGTGTGTGTGTGTGTGTGTGTGTGTGTGTGTGTGTGTACCGTCAAATCGGATCTGACTGGTACACGAGGAGATTGCCCCTCCTTCTGCAGCAGAGCATCCTGTGGATTCGAACCGCATTATTGCTGGGATTGCAGGCTTTGTGCCACTAGGCCACCAGAGCTCTCTTTAAGTTTAAACTTAAACTGGTGCCCATAAACAGCACCAGTTGACAAATTACAGTGTCTAGGAGGAGGGAAAATATGACACAGACTGGGTAAAAATTCTAGGATAAGACAGAGTAAATGGGAGGGGGAAGAGTAAATGATGATTTATCTTCACAGAAAACTTCATAAATTTTCTTGATTCATGAAAATCCATAAATGTCTTAGTAAATTTTTTCTTGGTACCTCTATGCCAAAAGGAATACCTATCCATCAGTTTAAAAGTCAGGTTCATTCAAATCCACCAGATGCCCTGCTGGAGAAGGAAAAACAATCTACACACACACACACATACACACACACACACACACGTGTCAGGTTCAAACAACTTTAATGTTCACGTCCCACCATCAAGTTTTTCTTGGAGCCAGTGAACATTCCATCCTCCTTCCTCATCTTCATTGATTTTCCTACTCCACCTTTTATCCCAGCAACTGCTGGAAACCAGATTGCACAAAAGATGGAGCATTGTTGAAAGTGTAATCATTTCACTGCAGGAAGTGTGGACTGCCTGGAACTGATAGTTCCCGGTGTTCAGACAAGTGCCTCTGTGTTTCCCTCAGGGAGTTGAAGTGTCCTGCAGTGCCCTGGGCTTGCTCTTGTGCCTTGGAGTGTCTTAGTGTAGAGTAAATGAGAAGAAATGCCTCCTAAGCCTGAGATGTCTCTGTTTTGGGAACTTTGATGTGGATTAAATAGGTGGTTAAGGATTGAGCCATTGAATTGGTGAAAGGAAACGTGTTTTCAATCCTAACTTCCCTGAAGGCTAATTGTCATAGCATCTGTGTTCATTAGTGACCACAGTGAATCTCCACCTGCAGAAACAAAATACAAACTTTGCATTTATCAAAAGCTTGGGTTTTTTCTTCTTCTTTTTAATACAGAACAAATCACTGGCTGCAGTTACCGAACCAGAAACAAACAAATTTGATGGTACTGGATATGATAAGGACTTAGTAGAAGCTTTGGAAAGAGATATTATTTCTCAGAATCCCAATATTCGATGGTAAGTTAAGAGTGCAGCCAACTAATTGGGTTACGATAGTGGCTTTTGGAACCGAAAATGAGGTAAATGTGGAGATAGTACCAACTTAGATGTTGGAGAAGTATACTGAACATGTCATGGACCGCCAGAAGAGCAGATATGTCTTGGAGAAGGTGCAGCTAGAGTGCTCCTTGAAGGCCTCCTTTGGACGTGTTGCTAGGAGAGGCTATTCCTTAGAATTGGTGATTGACACAGTGACTGCAGCAGTGGGTTTGTGAGCCAGAGATTGTGAGGATGGCACAGGGCTCAGATCTGTTGTTCAAAGGGTCTCTATGAATAGTACTTGATTTGACAGTATCAACAATAACATAGACAGTGTTAGCAGACCACATACTGGAAAAGCTCGTCTTTGTCCAGATTATAATGGGGTTTTATCCAAGGCCATACTTCTTATGTCTCTGATAGCAATATGATCACAGTGGTTTCATCATTTCTTATTTGACGGCACCTAACAGCCACAACAAAGATGAAAAGACAATGATTTTTATACAGCGACATTTCTTACTGTCTGTCTTATTACTTCTTATCCTAAGTTTGTTCTATAGATACTCCTTTTATTTCCTTTTGGTTAGTATACGTCTCAACTTTGTTAATATTTAATCTAATTACATGTAAAGAACTGTAACCTATTAGTAGTGATTTATATTCTGTTACTACCCACCTTCTTGTTTTGTGCCATCAGAGTGGAACCAACTCCAGCGAGTTTTCAGAGGCTATACGTTGTGTAAAACGTTATTGCCCATCTTTCTCTCATGAAGTCACTGGTGGACTGTAACCATGTCCTTTTAGGTTGGCCTCACCTTTCCTTACCACTAGGCCACCAGAGCTCCCTACCTCACATTATGTTAAAACC